ACTTGAGCTAGGTGCTTTTTAGTCTTCAAACTGATGTCTTTGCTCTTGAACGCTTTAAAGAGGTCTTGTATAGCAGACATTCCTAAGGCAGTATGTTGTTTTTATTTTCTTCAGCTGAACTTTCTTAAAAGCAATCGATGGTCTGTTCCACAGCCTGCCCCTGGCCTTGTGTTGGCTGATGATATTGAGCTTTTCCATCATCTCCTCCCATTTTGTTGTTGTTAAGTGCCATCGAGTCAGTTCTGACTTATAGCAACTTACAGGGTTTCCACTGAAAGTGCCATGGGTTGCCAAAAAACCAACAGATCTGTGTTGGAAGAAGTGCAGCCAGAGTGCTCCTTGGAGGCCAGGATAGCCAAACTTCATCTCTCATACTTTGGACATATTGTCAGGAGGGAGCAGTTGCTGGAGGATATCATGTTGGTAAGGTGGAGGGTCAGAGAAAAAGAGGAAGACCCCCCCAACAAGATGGATTGGCTAAGTGGCAGCATCGATGGACTCAAACAATAGTGAGGTTGGCCCAGGATTGGGCAGTGTTTCATTCTGGTGTACATAGGGCCGCTGAGTCGGTACCGACTCCATGGCACCTACCAACAACAACAATAGGGTTTCCAAGGAGTGGCTGGTGGGTTTGAATTGCCAGCTTTACAGTTCAAACCTAACTTGCAGTACAGTGCTTATCCTAGTGTCAAACCAGGACTCCTTTTCTCCCACAGATGTAGTCAATTTGATTCCCGTGCACTTCATCTGGTGTCATCCAGGTGTGCAATCACCTTTTATTTTTTTTTTCCAAAGGAATTCGTAATTAATAAAGTGTCGGTCTTGCAAAATTATCTCAAGCGATTTCCAGCATCATTTCTATCACCAAGGTCATGTTTTCCAACTTGTTTCTAACCTTTGCATTCCAACCACCAGTAATTACCAATGCATCTAGATAGTATGTTTGATAAATTTCAGACTGAAGAAGTTGGTAGAATTATAATAGTGGTATTATTGGTCTGCCTAGTACGAGTATGGATATTATCCTACCACAAACAGCATTGTGCTCCCAGACAGATCTCGAAATGTTCTTTTTGATGATGAATGTAATGCCATTCATCTTGAATTTGTTGACCCTGGCATAAGAACGTATGAGTCAATAAAAAATCATCTGATTGTTTGAATAAAAATGCCTATTTCAGCTCATGAATGCCTAGAAGATCAATCTTTATGTATTCCATTTCATTTTTAACAACTTCCAGTTTTCCTAGATTCATACTTTGTATGTTCCATGTTCTGATTATTAACGAATGCTTGCAGATGTTTCTCCTCATTTTGAGTTCTACACCAACAGCAAATGAAGATCCCAAAAGCTTTACTCCATTCATATCATCATGGTCAACTCTATTTTGAGGAGACAAGTCTTCCCCAATCATATTTTGAGTGCCTTCCTACCTGAGGGCTTATGTTCTGGCATTCTACCTGACAATATTCTGCTGGTATTCATGTTTTCATCTTCAGGTACTGTACTGACAATGTTCTAATGCTATTCATGTTTTTCAGTGACTATTCAGTAGTTTGATTCTCCCTTTTCCTAGTCTGTCTTAGTCTGGAAGTTTAACTGAAACCCCTCTACCATGGGTGACCCTGCTGGTATGTGAAATACCGGTGACAAAGCTACCAACATCACAGCAACACAAAATGTATGACTGACAGATGAATGTTGAAGTTCTTTGTTCTTAGTATAATGAATACTTTAAAATTTTTAAGCATCTTACCAATCAAAACCAAACCAGTTACGGTTGAAGCAATTCTGAATCATGACAACTTCGCGTGTTAGTGTGTAGAACTGTTCCGTGTGGTTTTCAGGGCTGTTACCTTTACACAAGCAGTTCACCAGGTTGTTCTTCCATGGAACCACTGGGTGGGTTCGAACCAAGGCTTTGAACTGATTCAGCCTAGTTCATTTATGGCTAAATGAAGCAACACCAGAAGAGACTTAAAATTTTTAAAATGTGAATGAACCAGAACTCTGACTGAGATGGGAAAAGAACAGGTGGAAACCCTGCTAGAATGTAATGTCCCTCTTAGAAAAGAAGGGCAGTGTGTGTTATAGAGCAACCCAATCTCTTGACATTCTGAGCTGAAAATTCTAGATGAAAAATGGTGATCACCTGTGTGGCTTTTAATGTGTTGCTCTCCATGATTGTGGCAATAATCCAGTATCAAGGATCTGGTCCATACATTCCTTCCAATCTCTCATTTCCAAATTTCAACCTATAAATCTTCCTGTTCCAGTTAACATTTTAGATCACCCAAAAGTTAAAGTTCCGTTTTTTCAGGTTTTTTATCTTCAGCCCTATCTGAATTAGCAGCCAACCACAAATCTCCTGTACCACCTAGGACCTTGCCATTCAGATAGGTAATGACTAATGTGAACATCTTTCCACGAAGTCATTTGCCATCTCCTTGGTTGTGTCTGTGAAATTATTTTGCCACTTGCCCAATTAATGGAATTGTTTCCTTACTATTGAGTTTAATTCTTTATATACTTTGGCTACAGATCTTTTGTTGGATATGTGATTTACCAAATATTTTAAGTCTTTGTTTTCTCATTTTTACACTGTAACTACAGAGAAAGTTTTGAAGCTTCCAGTGTCCGTTTCTCTCTTTAACGTGGAATCTACTTTGGTGTCAGGCTGGGAGGCTGGCTTGGAGAGCTGTATAAGTAAACAGCCCAAGGCAAACAGGGTTGGGGGTTCTCTTCAATACAATAGCCCAGCAGCTATCCATTTTTTGCATTGAACTAAACTTTTTAAGTATTTTATTTAAAATAATTATTACTGAGTTTTGTGGTTCCCTGCTTGAAGCTAGTGCCCTAAGTGGATTCCTTGTTCCTCTCCTTAACCTGGTCTTGCCCAATCCAACACAGTACAAGCCAGGCATAGTATTCCATGTTGGATATCTGAATGAAGGGGCCTTGGTCACAAGACACAGGGGAAGACACAGAAGGGATAGAGATTACTTTCACAAATGACATGTGAAAATTTGAAGATTTGACGTGCTTGAGGTGTACTTATTGGCAACTGCCACACAGGATAGAAACTGCAAGGCCAATCTGGCAACCACTTGGTTGTTGGACTAAGGAGCAAGTCAAAAAGGTGATTTAACATGTTAAGTGTTAGTTTCTACTCCTAAAGACCCTGTATGGTGTTTCTGAGGCTCTACATCTTCGAGGGAGCAGAAAGCCTTGTTCTTTCTCCATTGCTTATTGTATATCAAGTATTATATCCCTGGTTCACCCAAGACTACAAGTGTGAATTATTGTCTAAGCGTGTCTGGAGTTTCCATTATATGTCCTCATCTTTACATGTTTCTCACTGCTGCACACTGGGATCCAAAGCCACCTAGTCTGACACCCAGGGGACAGGACTGCACGCCCCTCTGCAAACTGTGTTCAGGCCAGGGTCTACAAATAAGGGAGAAACAAGAACATTCAGAATAGCTAGGGACTGGGCAACTAAGTGATGGTGGGGAGGGATGAGGTGGGAGCAGGGAGATGGTTTGGAACTGATTTGAAAGCCTCCGATCAGCTAGTGGGATTCATCTAAACAGATGCTACTAAACTCTTGAACAGATATTAAGAACAGTTAGCCTCTCTCAACCTCATAAAGTTATACAACTTGTAATCGCAATGGACTTGCCTTGCATGAGATGAAAGGAAGACCATGCCAAGTTTGAGATCAGTGAGGAGACAAGTAGTTCATTAATTTTGAGAAGTCTTGAGGATGGAACGGTTATCAAGGTTGGACCAAGAGGACACCAGTGACAGGACAGACTAGTTAAGAGGCACCAGTGCTACAGGAAGGATTCATGATTGGAAAGCCCAGTTTTTTCATTTTAAAAAAGATCTTACAACATGAAAGTCAGAGCATATATACCTGTATTAATAGTATACAACATCTCAATCATATCTAAGTAAGGTCATTGGAGTCCTGATGTGGCACTGTAGAATCAGCACTGGACTGCCAACCACAAGAGTTGATAGTTCAAATCCCATCCTCTTGTTGGTGCTGAGGGCTGAAATGTGTTGGGCTCAAACTCACCAACAGTTCCTAGGAAGAGGCTATCTGGGAACAATTCTATTGTCCATTAGGGTGCCTTCAGAACTTACTGGATGACAGTGCGTGACTGGCCCATTCTAAAGACTAATTTTTCTAAAATTGATCATTTAGATAGCAAATCCTCATGTACAAAACACCTAGCTTCAACAATTAAAACAATCTTGATTCATTCCTATACTTGAACCATATGTGTTTCGTGCCTTAAAAACTGGTATGTTATTTAGTGCCATCAAGTCTGTTCCAACCCACAGTGACCCTTATAGGGTTTCTGAGGAGCAGCTGGTGAGCTTGAACTGCCAATTTTACAGTTCAAACAGCTTTGCAGTCTAATGAATTAACCCACTGTGCCACACCAGGACTGATTTGTTGTTGTTAAGTGCCGTCGAGTCGGTTCCGACCCATAGCGACCCTGATACAGGGTTTCCAAGGGTGTAAATCCTTACAGGAGTAGAAAGCCTTATCTTTCTCCCGCGGAGCGGCTGGTAGTTTCGAACCGCTGACCTTAAGGTTCGCAGCCCGATTCGTAACCACTACACTACCAGAGCTCCTTGTAGGACTGATATAGGAAGGCCAAAATGAATGGCAAATTTAGGACACAGGACTAAAATATTTTGCTTGGCACACACTTTTATAAGCTACATTCTAAATTCTGAAACATTTAGATAATTAGAAAACACCAGAACAGGAGCAATTAATGATCTCAATTCAATTTCCATTTAAGTCCTCTATATACTCCAGATTCCTACCTGCTTGACAGATTTTCACAAGTTTCTATAGCTTATAAATTCCATTTACTCCAAAGAATCCTGCACTAACTTTGGTCTCTCAAAACTGTGTGTGTGACACACAATACCACACTGTGGTGGGATAGGAAAAAATAAGACATATAAATTCCAGATATGAAAATTTATTATCATTACATTTTCAACATCGTAACTTAAGATCTTGGCCTTTCCTTCTTGCCTTTGTATAAGGCCAAAAGAGAAACATTAGCTACTTTGACAACCTTAAAGCGGACTCCAGGAATGTCACCAACAGCATGACCTTTGCGACCAAATCCAGCAACTAGAACTTCATCGTTTTCCTAGAATAAAATGAACAATTTACTTGTCAGTGGAAACACTAAAAAGTAAACTCCCACTTCTCAGAAAAAAAACTGGAGGAAAACATGCATAAATTCAAATGTGACATTAATCTTTTCATTTATCTGAAACATTTACCTCAATAAAATTCAAGCAACCATCATTGGGTACAAAGGCTGTGATTTTCTTTCCGTTCTTGATCAGCTGGACCCTGACACACTTCCTAATGGCAGAATTTGGCTGTTTTGCTTCAACACCCCTGAAATAAAAACAACAGAACAAGGTTAACTCCTTTAAGTTACACTCAGTTAAAAAAAAAAAGAATCTTAGTGTAATTAGCTCAATTACAATCAGGCCTCTTTTAAAGAGGGCGTGGAGCAAGGTAGAATCTCCACTAAATGTTAACAATATAAAATCATTTTGAAATAGTGGCTAATTAATTCATTAGTGGTGGTGGCTGTGTGCCGTGGAGTCGGTTCTGACACACAGCGACCCTGTACAGGGTTTCCGAGGCTGTAAATCTTTACGGGAGCAGAAAGCCTCATCTTTCTCCCGCATAGCAGCTGGTAGTTTCGAGGTTCGCAGCCGGATTCATAACCACAGAACCCCAATAATCATTCTTTATTTAGCAAAGATGATGGCACAATATTGACCACAAGTCCTTAAAGACTGCCCACCCTAGCCCTCAACCCCAGGACAGTGCATGTACCTACATGTCACCTGACAAATGCTGAGCTTACCCAAACAAATACGTGAGAATACAATTCCTTTAAAAAGCACTCAATGAATGTATTTGTAGCACGCTACAACATTAAAATTTAACCTTCAAGGAAGCACTTGACTTACACTTTTTCCAACACAATGCCCTTTGCATGGGAAGCGCCTCCAAAGGGGTTGGCTTTCAAAGCGGTGCCCAAATGGGCTTTTTTGTACTGTTTATCATGCCACTTCTGGTCCCGTCGGTGGCTCCGGAGCTTCCTGGCAGTACGAAGACCTCGACACTTGCCTTAGGGGGGACAAAAGGGGAAAAAAAGGCATTTTCTGCAATGAAATGTAACAGTGTTTCAGTTGGAGTCTTATAAGACGCTCGCTTGTGAATCCTTAAGCCTGGAGGTTCTCGCCGCAAGTCTAGGCCGACAGAACAAATCTGTTTCTCTTAACAATCAGACCAAAGTTTGTAAAAGCACAGGCGCTCCAACGGCACATTCGCAAAAGAGGCCCCACGTCATGGCAGAGACTGGGCCCCCGGCCTCGTGTCCCTCGCTAAGGCGCGAGTCAGAGTTCGGCGGCCTCAGTGCGCCGCGTGCGCTTCTTCCGTGCCGGCCCGCAAGCCGGGAGAAACCGTGTTTTCGGGCTCTCTCCTCATGATGCCCTCCTCCCGTCCTCCGCTCCCTTGCGCCCACCCAAGCGTTTGCCTCCAAAACCTCCAGTCCCGCTTACAGCCCCTCAACAGACGGCGGAAAAACCTACCCATGTCGGCGACACCACAGCACCCAGCGAAAAGAGAGAGACAGGACAGGAAGGAGCCACAAACCACCGCGAGCAAGCCACGCCCAGTAAAGGACCCCGTACAGTTGTCTGCGCAGCGCCTGACCTGAAGCTGGTGTGTGTCATTTGAAACGACACTTTTGTATCACTCTCCCTAAGCAGAATCTGCCTTTTACTTAATTGTAAAGAATTTTATAGCTATCTGATTTACATCGTTTTGTCTTTTACTTGTAAACGCTTGGGTCAGAAGGAAACTGAACTACCAGTTCCAGAATCCTTTGCACCAGATCCTCACACGGCGCAGGCGGGTTCAGCAAAATCCCCGCTGGGCGGGAGTAGAGCGGAGAAGGAAGGAAGGCGAGAGGTGAAGTTATTAAGGCTTTCTGAGTTTGAAGAAGGAAGTATCATTGGTCCGGGATGTCTGTATGGTGGAATGGGGTACCTGTGCATACACTCTGGAAAATCAGACTTCCTGTCCATAGCTTGGAGTCTTGGTGAGGCGCTATTGGATAATCACTGGACCAAAAGGTCGGCAGTTCGAACTCACCAGATGTTCCTCGGAAACTCTATTCGGGGTCGCTGTGAATGGGAACCAACTTGAAGGCACGTAACAACAACAATCCATAAGTCAACCGACATTGTCAAGTCGGCTCCGACTCATAACGACCCTATGCACAACAGAATGAAACACTGCCCGGTTCTGCTCCAACCTCACAATTATTTTGCTTGAGCCCATTTCTGCTGCCCCTGTGCCAATCCATCTCGTTAGGGGTCTTGCTCTTTTTTGTTGATCTTCCACTTTAGCCAGCATGATGTCCTCCGGGGACTGGTCCCTCCTGGTAATAATGTCCGAATTATGAGAGGCAAAGTCTGCCCATCCTGGCTTCTAAGGAGCCTCTGGCTGTACTTCTTCCAACACAGATATTTTGTTCTGAGATGATTCTGTGAGTTCAGTTTGGAAGCTATTGCAAACTGTCCATTAAGTTTCAATACAACTTTCACATGCATATGAGGCTGTTGAAATACCTTTAAACTGTCATTTTTGTTTGCTTTTCAGCACCAAGACATTGTTGTTGTTGTTAAGTGCCACACCAGGACTCTGAGACTTAGTGAATTGTAAATTTAGTGAAGCAGTGTGGCTTAGTAATTGAAAACCCAGGCTTTGGTGACCCAGTCAGGCCTTAAAATGCAAAGCTACCCTTTACTGGTTGTGACTGATTTAAGTTCTCTAAACTTCTGTTTCTCCTGTAAAATGAAATAGTTATGATTAGAGTTTTCTGGGATCCTGGTTCTTTAAACAAATATTTTTAAAATGTCTTTGTGCCAGGTGCTATTTTAAACACAGGATGCAGCAGTTAACAAGAGTGATGGTTTTGTTCTTGCAAGATTCATATTTCTGAACCCTGCTGGAGACCTGGTTGGCCAGCAGTGTGGCAAGTCCAGGGGACTCTTGGACCCAGAGTCAGTGACACAGCCACAGAGGACTAGAGTGAAGAGTAAAGCATCCAGCTGATAAGAAGAGAGGGCATATGCATAAGTACACCCACATTTGAAGATAATACCCACTTGACCTGGCTTCA